CTTGTTGGTAATTAGTTACTGGGAGTTGCGATATATTACTCAAACAGGATCTACACATGAACCCTCAGGCAGGCTTCGTAAATCTGAGATTTCCTGACGGGTTCAACGCCCATGGCATGGTCATGGGCTTATGCAAGTGTGGTCCGATCAAGGGGCCACTAGACTGTAATTTAAAATATTCTTGAAGTTCTGCTAGCTACCCAGACCCTCCTATGTAGTTCCTTTTTTGGGTAGTATATTGTAATCACTTACTAAAAAACCATAACAAACCCAAAAAGGAACGACATTGGAGCCCTTGGGTATAGTCCGAGAAGCCAGCTGACATCACAATTGTTCCCAGTCTTCCAGGGAGGTTAAGGCTCATATTTTCAAGGTTTGATGTGCGGAGTCTGTCACTTGCATTCCAGTTGTGCAAGTGTGTGTGTGGGGGTGGGATCTGTCCCGGCCCGTGGTTCCCAAGCCGTTTTTTTTTCTCCTAACTGCGGGGCGAACCCTCTCAGCCTGTTACACCTCCACCCCACCCAAACCTGACACCGTTAGGACTCAGGGGATCAAATCCTGAATCCCAAAGACAGCCCCTTCAGCCCTGAATCCCAAGATCCCTTGTAGGGCTTTGGGGATCAAATCCCGAGCCCCTAGATTCTTAATCCCTCAGCCCGCAACCCTCAACCCTAAACCTTAAACTCTAAACCCTTCAACCCTAAACCCTTAACCCTCAACCCTATACTCTAAACCCTCAACCCTAAACCCTGAACTCTAAACCCTCAACCCTATAAACCCTCACACCTAAGCTAACTCCTGAGCCCTGCAGCGTCATCCTTAAGCCCTGAACCAGGACCTCCCGACCTAAGTCTCAAAACTCAAGACCTACCCCCTACAGGGTTTGGGGTTTAGCGGTGTAGGCTTAAGGGGTTTAGAGTTTAGGGGTTTGGGGGTTCAGGGTTTGAAATTTGAGGGTTTAGGGGCTTAGGGTTTAGGGTTTCGGGGCTTAGAGTTTAGGGTTTAGGGTTGTCCTTCAGTAGGAAATGGAGCAATGTTTCCTGCAGTAGCCCCTATAAAATCACCGAAGATATGGAAGTTGCAGTTTTTCTGTTTCTGCCATGGATTCCCTACGAGCAATCATAAGCCCTAAACAATAAGTAGTGGCTGCCTTCTTTGTTTCCATTCCGTCATCCCCTATTAACAACTAGCAAGAAAACTAAACTAAAAGCACCAAGGCTTAGCTGGCGCGTGCTCAACTGGGCCGTCATTGGCCGCTCCAGCGCCGGCAAGTCAACGCTGATCAACGCCCTGCGCGGGCAGCCCGATCTGCCTTGATCATGATCATGGGTTCCCCTACTGCGCCGCCCCTGTATACTACCCCCTAGGTTCCCGCCTTAATTAAGGTTAATTATTTGGGGATAATTAGGCCTAATTAGAGGGAGGTAGTGGGGAAACCCATGCCTCTAGGGTTTTCAAGCTTGCGGCGAGTAGGGAATGAAGGAATGCAAAAGACGCTGAAAGCTACTGTCGTCTTGGGGGTTATAAAGGGGCTACAGGTTTGAAGATGGGGCTTGAGGCCCTGACTATCTATTTAGAAAACCCCATTCTGATTCCTTAGGCTTCTAAACCTTGAGCCCTATAAACCCAGCTCAAGCTGTTTGAGCCCCTGAACTCCGTTTTAGCTATTTAAGGCCCCTAACCCTATTCTAGCTGCGTAGCGCCTCTAAACCTCTTCCGGCTGTTTAAAGCCGTTCCTCCAGGCCGGCTACTTGCAGCTTCATGGGAATCTGTAACTGCATATAAACGGGCTGATAACCTTACTTGATAACTCCCGTAGTGTAGGTTACCAAAAATGTTCATGATTTCAACCCCAAGTTTGGAGTAGTTGCGAAGTCCCATGAACCTTCAACTAGCAAGCCTACCTTCCAAATACACCCTTGTATAAACCAAGGATTTCATTTCATGTTCCATGTTCTTGTCCATTTGATTGTCAATTATTGGGGGGAAATCAACCTTCCACGCTATACCCTGAACCCTATTCTCTATTCTTACTGTTATAATGAACCTTCAAGGAAAAATCTACATTGCTTATAACCCATCAACCTTCCCATTAGCCCTATTCTCACTGTTACAAGTAGTTACTTAGTCCCGTGAACCTTCGAACCTATGCCTATCAGCCTTCCCTGAAACCCTACTATTCTCACTGTAAGATCTAGTTTGAAAGTCCCATGAAAACCGTAAACCCTGAACCCTAAACCCTAAACCCCGATCCTAATCCCTACATCCTAAACCCTAATCCCTAAACCTTAGACCCTGAACCCTAATCCCTAAACCCTAAACCTTGAACCCTAAGCCCCACACCCTAATCTCTAAGCGCTAAACCCTGAACCCTAATCTCTAAACCCTAAACCCACACCCTAAACTCTAAACCCTAAACCCTGAACCCTAAACCCACACCCTAAACCCTACACCCTAAGCCCTGAACCCTAAACCCTACACCCTACACCCTAAACCCTGAACCCAAATCCCTACACCCTGAACCCTCAACCCTATGAACCTTCAAGTACATTTTCGTCCCAGGCTGAAACCACGCAGCCCAGGAGCTGCGCCCGTGGGCACGGCCACGAAACCTAAAGGGCCACAGGCCACCCGGTGTATCCATCAAGGTTTTGGGGGTTGAGGGTTAAGGGTTTTAGGGGTTTAGGGTTTAGGGGTTGAGGGTTTAGGGGTTTAGGGGTTTAGGGTTTAGGGGTTGAGGGTTTAGGCTTTTAGGGCTTAGGGTTTGAGGGTTTAGGGTTTGAGGGTTTCGGGGTTTAGGGCCTGAGGGCTTAGGTGATGGAGGAAATCTTGCACGGCTTAAAGTCCCTTTCTTTTTGGTAACTGTTAGCACTTTTGGAATGTCATTAGGGTGAACCCAATGTACATCCCCAATTATTGTAGTCCTTAATATGTGGCTTCTCCAAAAAGGAACCCCACAGTTCCTTGAGATTCCCTTATGAAATATGGCTTTTTATTATGGATTCTAGGTTTCCTGATGAATATTACGAAAAGCTGGAGTGACCAATGTACCTATAGAAATGGAGTTTTGTACAAAATTGTAAGTTTGTAAGGATTTAAAGGTAGCCATACCGGAACACTTCCAATCTTACACCCCAAACCCTTTAATGTAGAGGCCTGAGTCTGTTGTGACTCTAATTTCCTCGTATAATTGTGTTACAGGGTACTTCAGACAGACCTGAAAACGATATTCGTAGCTCATAGATTTTTCCGTTACAGCCCGTAAACCTTAAAACCCAAACCTCAAACCTTTTGCCAGAGAGTGCCACACTCTGCTAACTCTCTTCTACCAGTTACCATGCCAAACTGCCATGTTATGATTTTAGGGTTTGTGGTTTAAGGTTCAGGGGGAGAGGTTCGGATGATTTAAGTGTTTATAGCTGTTTAGGATTGAGGATTTAGAATTTTTTATTCAAGCTTTCAAAACCCTAACTGACACCATGGCATGCTGAAAAGCAAGACCTGTATACACCCCTCCAAGTGAAAGCTACAATCCCCTCCGCACGACCTAGGCCCAAACGGGTTCCGAAAATATGTTGTTCCGGCGAAATTGCCCTCTATATTGGCAAGCCATACATCCCAATTAAACCCTAAGGATCCAAGTACCCAATAATCCTATATTTGCCCAAACCCTGTACGACTATAAGTCCTATTACCCAACACCCAAGTACCTAATCATTGGGTACTTGGACCCTTTGGCAAACCCTTACCCCAAACCCAGGCCTACATGTTCCAGGGTGACTTGGCCCGTTTTACGCGCATGGCAAGGCGGCGACGATTTTGCGGATGGCAGTTGATAAAGGACTCCCTGGGCCCTACCCAGACCCTCCTATGTAGTTCCTTTTTGGGTAGTATATTATAATCCCTTACCCAAAAACCATAACAAATCCAAAAAGGTAATTCCTTGGAGCCCTTGGGTAAAGGGAGGCAAAATAATGACCCACAACCTTGAAAAACGCCAAAAAGTACACAGTTTAGGGTTGTGGGTCACCCTTGAGGCGTACGGATTTCAGGGTTCAGGGTGTGGCGCTAGGGTTTGGGCACAAGGGGCGGGGGTTTTGTTGTGTTTTGCTTTAGTTTTTGGGCTTAGGGTAAGTTTAGGACTTAAGGCTTATCTGGCATTATCATCTGATCCCCCCTTTGGCTCATGAAGGGGGGGTTTCAAGGATCCCCGACCCGGCCAACCCTCTGGGGACGCAATCACTGACTATACTGTGTCTGGACCCCCGACCAGTAATAGTGACTATAAGGGATAAGGGTAATTGTCTTAGGGGCTTCTAATAATCCTTTTATGCCACTATTGCGGGGGGGGGGGTACTCCTAAATTATACAACCTTTGTGCTTGTTGTTGGTAGTTGCATCTCTTTGTCTGCAATCCTGTCCCCGCCTTCTGAATGTCCACATCCGCTCTGTACTGGCAGCTTTTACGTGGGAAGCTTCTAAGGACTTAGCTGGGCATCGGATCCGTTGGAGCAGAAGCCATACGCCTTGTACACGCGAAAGTCTAAGGATACCAAGTCCATAGGTGTATGCATATATGTATATCTATATATATAGAGAGAGAGGGGGATACAGTGGTTTAATCTGCGGACTTCAAGAATGAGGGCCCATGATAGACCTAGAACCCCCAACACCCGTCTATAGAGCCCACATACCTACAAATAGGACTTCAAAACAAGTTCCTTTTCAGGGTACTAGGTGAGAGGCGTCCTGGGAGGGCCTTGGCTTCCATCATAGATTGTCGTGCAGGCTTTGGGATCTACCCGGTGCTGGCACACGGGAGTGGCCATGCGCGACTTACGTGCCCCGAGCCAGTTTACTGGGTTGCTGAAGGAACTTAACTTGAGTTACCTTGTTATGGGTATATGGTAAATATCAGGATGTCGTATTATAGTAATGTATCTAAGGAAGTTACCATAACATGGGGATTTGGGAAATACTATGGTTACCGTATAATGTTCACCTAGTTCAAAGGGAGCTACCATAATATGGGTATGTGTTAAAACATGGTTTTTCCCTGGTATAGTAAGTGATTTTAGGTTCGTGAACAGCAACCCAGTTTAAGGTTGCAGGTTTACGGGTTTGGGGGGTCGAGGGCTTGTGGAGGCATTGGATTTACTTAAAGCTGACAGTTCAAGCTTTCAGTTCGGGCTTCTGAGAGCTAGTGCTCAGGCTTTGGGGGACGATGGAGGACAAAGGGTCATGTGGGGCTGAGGGTCAGAAGCTGTATCCGAGGGATCCTGTAGCACATATGTAGGGATACTCATCCAGAGGTAAGATTGGGGATATATTGGGATAGTGGAAAAGAAGATGCAAACTACTACAGGATATGAGGGTATATATTGGGGGATAAACCAATCCTAAACCCTAAACCCTAAACCCTAAACCCTAAACCCAATTCCTCGGCCTGAAGCCTTGAAGTTGTACCAGATAGATACTTGGCATCCTTGGCGGGGTAGGCCTTTAGGTGTAGAGTGTAGAGTTTAGAATTTCAGGCGTATGCTTGTGTTCAGGCAGTATATGTAAGGTCTAGTTCAAGGCTTCAGGTTTGCGGTTTGGGGTTAGGGTTTTCAAAGGTAGGGTCTGCGTGGAGGATTTGGAGTACCCTAAACCCCGCCTAAACCGTTCAAACCCTCTTGAGGGTTGAGGCTTCCGCATCACGCGTGTTTCTCAGGTTTAGGAGGAACTCTGCCCAATTTCCCATCCTTGCACCTCCAGAAGGCCTAAAATGCGCAACTTTAGCACGAATCCTCTGTGAGATATGGGGGATCTGAAAGGCCACCCCAGATTAGGATCAGAAGTTTCCGGTTTCGCGCTACAGCATTTGAGGGGTTTGGGCTTTATGCCCCTGTACGTACATGTCTATGTATGCCTGCAAGGTCAATTTATCCCTAAACCGGAGGTCTGAAGAATTTAGGGGCAGTGTTTTCCCCCAAGTGTTGACCCCTGAACTGGAGGCCCAGAAATTGAGGAAGAATGTTTCCCCCAGTTGCGTATCCCTATCTGACGCTTGAAAGTATGTGGAATACTGGCCGCTCGTGCTGTTCTCAGGGTCCTTGGACCATTATCCAACCTACTATGGTGGTCCAGGTAAACATCCGCCCCAGTTTCCATGTCTTCTCCATTTGGTTCTCCATTGCTGGGGTCAATTCCCCAACACAATAATCCCTAAACCCAAGGAACCCTTAGTCCCTAAACCCTATAATCCTTATACAATCCCTAAACCCTAACGCCTATGTAATCCCTAAACCCTCAGCGTTATAATCCGTCTACAATCCCTAAACCCGAAATCCTAAACCCTCAACCCTAAACCATAACCCTAGACCCTTAAACCCAAACCCTAAGCCCTCGACCCTTAACCCTTAAGCCTCAATTTTAAACCGTAAACCAAAACCCTAAACCCTATAAACCGGAAATCCCCCAAACCCTCAACCCTAAACCCTAATCCCTTAAACTTAGACCCTGAGCCGTTAACCCTAAACCCCTAACCCTTAATCTTAAACCTTAAACTAAAACCCTTAACCCTAAATCCCTTTAACCCGAAACCCTTAACCCTAAGCCAAAACCCTAAACCCTATAAACCCTAAATCCCCCAAACCCTCAACCCTAAACCTTTAACAGTATCCTTAATTTAGGGAAACCCCAACATGATTCCTGTGGCCCTTGGATCACTAAACCTTTAATCCCCTATGCCGAAGGTCAAGGACGCCGGTTTGCGACACTTCGATGGGGTCCTCATCGTCACTTCAGGGCCCATCTCCGAGTTCGAGGTTGGAATTTCCCACAACCCCAAAGGGATCTAAAGATTAGGGTTAAGGGTTTAGGGCTTAGGGTTAGGGATCAGGGTTTAGCGTTTTGGAGTTGGGTTTTTTTGGGATTTAAGGTTGGGGGCTCAGAAAAAGTGCTTGGAGGCACGGGCACTTACAAGTAGACTTGCATGTAGGATTATCCATTGGGGCACGTGTCGGGGGTTTAACATTTGCATATACATATGGAGATATCTATATATGCTTATCGGCGTGGGGAGATTGAGAGTGGTTGTAGGCATCAGGTTTGTGATTGGCAGTTTGGTGAGGAAGGTTGTTGAGACCAGCGTTTATCGTATGGCTTAGGTGTGTTAGAGGCTTGGGGGGTCGTTTCGTTTTTCCAATTTTAAGGAAGCTCGGAAAATAATGCGGGGCCTGCTTTGGTGTTGGTGTCAGTGCATATCATCTTTCCTTCAGGGGTTGGCGGTTGGGGCGTAAGCTCTGCAGAGTTGTACGATTTGGGATATACCTAGTGATTTCTACTTTTCTTGTGGGATAGCCACTTCATATTCTGGCTTGAGAATTTCTTTCCGAGACTGGGTTTGCTTCCATGAACGGGATACAGATTTGATTTTCCATGTTAGGGACTAGGCTTTGAAACCCTGGCTTGAGGTATGGGGGTTCAGGGCCTTGGGTTTTCGATTCGGGTGTATGGTCCAGAGTCATAGGGTATCTAGTACCCTAAACCCTAAACCCTAAATAGTATCTAGTGCCACTCTCCATCTCCAACAGGTCACCAGAACAAGTAGTACCAACAGGACGACCGTTGGGATTTGGGGGTTTCCTAAAATTAAGGTTACCAATTTGGGGGTCCCCATAATAAGGACTATAGTATATTGGGGTCTATATTGGGGTCCCCTTATTTTGGGAAACTACCATTTTATATTGCTCGTCAAAAAGCCCGTTAGGGTGCCTCCCACTCATCCCTAATCTCCTCCCCCGCAAATGAACCTGCCGGGCAGTGGAGGCCCAATGAGATGAACATTGGAAGCTAGAAGCCCCGAAGCATGAGTGCCCGGCCTCAACCCCCAAATCTTCTTGACAGGAGAGCCTTCTGAAAGAGCTTATGGAGTTCGACGTCCCTTGCTACCTTGTGCGGAACAAGGCCAGGCTCTCGCATTCTTTGTCTCTTCCATTGGCCCTCTTCTTTCGCAGCTTTAGGGTGTCGGATTTAGGTTGGGAACTGCCCCCACTCATTTGCAGTTAGGTAATATTTATAATGTAACCATGTACAGCCCCTATTTTGACCCTTATTATAGACTGCTAATGGGTGGGGGCAGGACCCAAGGTTAGGGGTTCTAGGCTGGTTGTCAGAGTACAGGGCTCAGGAATTGTTGTTTTCTTCTGCCTGGGGCATCTAAGTCTAAGTTATGAGCCACACGTGAACCTCAAAAAATGCCAGTAGCGATCTTTAATTGAATATCCCATGTGGGAGTTGGAGTAGGCTGAGAACATCAGATGGTACAAGATTGCCTTCGTCAACAGTACGCAGCGGCTGGTGAGGCTGTGGGTGAGGCTTTTCATTCACGGCATATCGGGTCTCACCATAGTTTGCAGATTGAAGTAACAACTCCACTCAAGGGCTGAAAAAAATACGCTTTTCATGCAGTATCTCTAGATGAACGCTTGCAGTAGCTTCCCTCCATGGTGGGTCCGCTATGGTTGCCATACTTTCGATTAATATGAAACCGTGAAGATGCACATGCGCGTACATAATATCTGTACGTAATTATACATACACACTCCCATGATATATATATATATATACATACACAGTTGCCATATGACAGAAAGCACCTCCCTTGTTGAAAACCCTTTGCCCTCAGCTCCTTGTAAGACATTTTAAACCGATGCCTCGAGCTCGTTTAGACTGGCAAGGTTGACCAAGATGTGATGAACAACGCGCAGGACCACAGTGGAGGGTTTAGGTTATAACATGCCTGGAGGAATCAGATTTGGTGGTACCCTAAAATCAAAAACCCTAAGCCCTAAATGTCTTTAGTGGTAGCTGTTTGAGCTCCATGAATGTAAAGTACTGAAGCTACTGGTAGCTCTAGGACAGCGGCCTAAAGAATTGCGTACATGTAACATTACCCCATAGAAGAAGGTATTCGCAGCCAGGGATTGTCGAGGTAGTAAATATCATCAGCAACTGCCGAGGCGATGCTACTTGTAGGGTTTGCGGCTTAGTGTTTAGGGCGCAGGGTTAAGGGGCGTATCAAGCTTCGTGGTGATTGTTGAGTATCCATGTTCCAAGGTGTGGCCCATGTGCTTGGTGTTTCAGGCCCCGAGGTTGCCTCGTAGCTTGCACATCAGATGGATACTAGCCAGGTAGTGGGTTCAGGGTCTAAGGATTATAGTCCCCCTAAAGTAGATAGAATATGGGGTATATGGGAATCTTATTATAATATACCCAAAGCCATATTCTATCTACTTAAGGGGGACTATAGAGATACAAAGACGCCGCTAAAGTCCAAGCTTAGGGTTTCAATGCCCATGTGGGAAGATAGGATGGTGTATGGCACCTCGCTTTTTTGTTAGCGTTTAGGGTCTAGGGTTTAGGGTTTGGCAGGCCTGCTGCTTGCAATACTGATGCTTAAAGGAGTAGGAGGAGTGGATTAGGAGGAGTTGACAAATCGAACTATCCCTGTAGAATCCCCTAGTGCCCCAGTACCCCATTAAGAAGCAGTGTGGTAACTAAGTACACCTGGCACCCTAGATCCCGAAACTGGACGTGCGCCAGGAGCTTCGAAGCCGCATTTGGCATGGTAGGATCTGCCATTGACCCAGTCTAGGGGGTAGGCTTTAGGGTTTCGAGCTCGCTCTCCTCATGCACTTTGAACAATAATCAAAACTCTTTAAGGGGGTTATATAGACTACTATAGGGGTTATTAAGGGGGATACTAGGAGTTTAGAATGTAGCTCACATCTAGCAATGCTAAACCCTGCGATCGCGTGATGATCAATTTCACAACGCATGCGTCTTACTGGACAAGAAGACCCTTTTGCTATCGCCACGGACCCTGTCCTGAAAAATGCCCTACCAGAACCCATTTCCAGAACCCATTTCCAGCCCCTTCATCGCATTTAGAAGGATAACGAGATGTCTACAGAAGAGACGCTCAGAATTTTGCGCCGCGAGTTGGTTACCAGCTGCGCCCCCACGCGTGCCTTGGAATATGATTATGATTTTAAACTGGAGTATATAGGGGCTACATAGGGATAATGGAAAAGAAAATGGAAACTACTATAATGGGTTATATAGGGATTATATTAATGGTGATGCTGCCTAGACACCGAGTAACGCTCTCACCGGACCTCACTCCAAATGGCGTTGGAACAAAACATAGCTCTAACACCGCCTCACTTCAGATCCTGGATGTTGCGTATTTTAGGTAGTCTGGGGGTATATCAGGAATTGGCGTGTGGCCTCTGACCTACATGCAGAGCCTGATATTCAAACCAGCTAGCCAAGTCGTTTCCAGCCTTGTCCGCACAACAACGGTCTGATAGTTCCATGGCCCTGAGCACCTGACAGTCCTTGGAATTGTGGTTTTGTAGTATACTCAGTTCATTCAGCAGCTAGGCAGGCAGACGCCCAAGTTATAAGCAAGCAATATCTCATGGACCCTCATCGCTATTCTGAAGGACAACACTAGTGTTTGGGGTATACAGGACCTTACTACGATCTTAGGTGGCAATTCCATACTCTTTCTACTTCAGAGGAGGTATAGACATATACTTCCGCAGAACCTAGAATCAGCCAAAACAATCCCGACAACATCCGGCAACCATCTCTTCATTGCGTCTTTGGACTTTTAAGGTTATATCCAACCTAGAATGTCAAGCGCTCCGATCCCCCAGTCCTCATGGTGCTGGTCCAAATGAGCTATAGTCTAAACTCCTTAAAGGGGGGTTATATAGGGGATTATACAGGGGACTACTATAGGGGGTATTAAGGGGGATACTAGGAGTTTAGACTACAGCTCAAATGCTTAATCACCTCGTTTAGTGTTTACAGTGTAGGCTGTTTGCGCCTTGCCGCGCCTCACCTGACGGTCTATACCACTAGCACTTAGTGCATATAAGCCGTTGCTGGGTACAGCCTGAGCATCCTAAGCACAGCGCCAACAAACTGAAGCGCCAGACTATGAAACCCAAACCCCACATCCTCCAACCTTACGACTTTGCAACTCTGGTACCAAGTGTTGCACAAGGCTTTTCATCAAGAACCACCCCGCTTCAGCAAGCAAACTCATCGACACGGAATCTGCCCTGAGGAGTCTGGCAAGCCTGTAGGAAACGAGCATGAGGGACGATTTGAAGTGCGCAAAGGCACCTTCCTCGTTTCTGCGAAGCATCCGGACGCTTGCCTAGTCTTCACGCTAAGTACCTGAAAGTTTGAGGGGTCAATGGCTTGAACTATTCGGGCTCGCCTTTCAGTGTTCAATGTTTTGTTAGGGTGTCTGAGGGTGTCTGTCTTTTTTTTTGGTCTTTTCGCGCTTGATTTCAACCATTGTAGCGCCGGAGATCATGTCCCACCATGGTTAGTTACAGCGTCTGCGTCCCCTCATCTATACGCGGAGGCGGCTGTACATCATAAAGTTCCATCCAACACACTAAACCAACCGCCAAAGCCCTGACGGTACAAGGACTCAAAAAAAGAACAGAGGTTGAGGTCCCGAATACCACCATCTGCATGAGGGGGACCTAAAGCGCAAATCCAAGCCTGAACCTGAAGCCCAAAGTGTTGTTCTACCCTCGGGATGTATAAGGCTCAGCTCAAAAATCCAACACAATATCTTGTCTATACTGCGCAACAACCTTGAACTACATTGCAAAATTGCCAAGCCTTACGGTTCATAGACACAGTCCGTATGGCCCAAGAACCTTATACCTTGGCTGAATTATGGTATTACAAGTATAGCCATATGAGCTATAGTCTAAACTTCTTAAAGGGCGATTATGTACGGGGACTATTGTAGGGCTTATTCATGGGGATATTAGGAGTTTAGACAATAGCTCATATGTCACCCAAGTGTTTGAGCCTCGACCGAAGCAACAAAAACCCAGATCTCACTTTGGGATAACCTTGAATTGCAAAACTTGGGTTGGTGTCTGCCAGCAACTATTTGGCTTGTGGTTGTTTGGCTATAAGAAGTGCTATACATGTTTCGAGTGACAATGTTGTTAAACTTAAGCCCTAAATCCTAACCCTATAGACCCTAAAACCTGACTGTATGGTAAACGCCGGCCGGACAGATTTCCAACTTCATTTCCCGGCGGAAAGTTGGAAATCCCAGCACACCTGGCGACCCGGAAGCCAAGCCTCAAAGCCGTGCCCTTGTTTTCCGTAATAATGCCCTAATTGGAAAGATTCCCTAATAGGGCCCTAGTTGGAAAAAGTTTCTAGTAATGCCCTATTTGGAAATCGTCTCAAGCAAGGCTCAATTGGAAATAACCCTTAATAAGGCCGTAATTCGAATTAGTCCCTAACAAGGCCGTAGTTGGAATTATTCCTTAATAAGGCCCGAATTGCAAATAGTCCCTAGTAAGGCCCTAATTGGAATTTGTCCTTAAATAAGGCCCTGATTGGAGATAATCCCTAATTGGAAATAGGCCTGAACTGGGCCCTATGTGGAAATAGTTGTTCATACGGTTGTAATAGGAAATAGTCCCTAATACGCCGCTAATTTGGAATAGTCCCTAATAAGGCCCTAATTGGAAATAGTCCCTAATGAGGCCCCAATTGGAAATAGTCCCTAACAACGCCCTAATTGGAAATAGTCCCTAACAAGGCCCTAATTGGAATTAGTCTTTAATAAGGCCCTAATTTGGAATAGTCCCTCATAAGGCCCTAATTCGAAATCGTCTCCAGTAAGGCCCTTATTGGAAATTGTCCCGAATAAGGCCCCAAACGATGAACTTCAAACTACTGAACCCTGAAACCTTGAAACCTTAAATCCTTGACCCCTTAAAACCCAAAATGAAAAGCTTCAAACTTTCACATTTGGGAACGCAATTTGCCGAGAATTGGTTTGCGCGTGGTCCTTGCAAAGTGAAAAAATGAAGTGGGAAACTTTCATTTTCGAAGCGCTTCAAGATGAAACGATTCAAAATGAACGTTTTGCACGTGCACATAATTGACTTTTACAACTTGTCCCAAGGAATTTTGAACATCCTGCATTGAAAGTGATGCTCTAACACGTCTCCAAGGAGTTTGTTTTGGACACCCTGCATTGAAAAAAGTGATGTCCTCTCACATCTGGAAACGAAATTGGCCAAGAGTTGGATTGCACGTGGACCTTGCAAAGTTAAAAATGGAGTTATAAACTGTCAATTTAGAAACGCTTTCAAATGGAAAGCTTTGCATTGTGCAGAATTGGCCTTTACAGCTTTTCCAAAAAAAAATTGAACATTCTGCATTGGTAAAGTGTTGCCTTTTCATTTCAAAATATGATTTTGCTGAGAAACGAATTGCGCATGGACCTTGTAAAGTGAAAAACAAAAAGTTGGAAACTTGTCTTGTTTTGCATGTGTTTTGCCTTGCCTTTTGTCTCTTGTGCTTTCCTTTCTTTGCTTGCGCTTTTCTTGCTGTTTCTGTGTTTCCATTTTTTTGTCATTTTTGCTCCGCTCTGCGTGCCTTTCTTTTTTTTAATCTCTCCTGCTTTGTGTGTGTTTTTTCGTCATGTGGTTATCTTGGTTATGTTTCTTCTCCTTTTCTGTTAATCTCACTTCTCTTGCACTCCTTCGTTTGTTGTTTTTTCTTTGCTTCTCTTGCTCCCTTTCATGTGGCTTCTCTCGTCTTTTTTGTTTTGGTCTCCCTTCTTTTCTCTTACGCCTTTTTACTTTTCGAGTTTGTCTTCCTTCTTTTCTCTTCTGCTCTTGCTCTCCTTTTCGCAATTTACATTGTCAACCTTTCTAAAAGTTTTCAGCTTTAAACACAATATGAAACTTGGAAACAGAATTAACGTTGGAAATCGTCAAAAACACAAAAAGAATAATGCTGGAATGGAGGTCGAGGGGTTTCCAACATCTGCAGCTGGGTGTTTCAATTAGAGGCAGAGGAGGCCCAGCATTCCACATCAGGATTTTCAGGACTTCCACCAGCTTCCAGCTCCACTCCGGTGGCGCAGATCAACTCCGAGGGCCAGAGTCAGAGAGCCGTCATCGAGGACATTGTGCGGCTGAGGTTGCTGCTTGAGACAAGCAGCGACACTTCGCACGAAGTGTTGCTTGCTGGCAACGCCTCCGCAAACGGATATTTCCGGCATCGTCATGGTCCAGATGGAGCAATTGGTTGAGATGGAAGGATGGACAGTGCCACACTACAGCGCGGACGCCGGGATTCTTTGGAATGTCCCACTCTGGGTTCTGCTGGAATACCATGAGCGTCTGGGGTTGACCGGACTAGCTGCATCAAGTCCACTCCGTGCCCCCGCGCGGGCACAGTGCACTTGCGCAGCATCATGCAGCATCGTTGTTGCATTGAAATAGGCTGCTGACATTTTTTAACCACAGGGTTTCGCAATGATTTGTATTCCTCCACTCACCTACCACGCTTTAAGGCATTAATTGTAAAACCCTAAGCCCTACTTATCCTGCCTTTAAATCCAAGCCAAAAATTCCACATAACTCTGCAAGCAAGGATCGCTTTTACGCATTTAACACCACCACTGAACCGGGTGTAGGTTTCGGCCAAAATGCAGCAAAGCTGCACTTCTTCGAATTCCCAGATTGCTAATAACCCCCACATCTGATTCTTAAAAAGGCGTAAACCCTTGCCCGGCTACGAACCTTACTAATTGAAACCGTGATCTGGAAAGAACAAGCTTGACTCCAAAGACATCAAGCTTCGGCCACAGACGCAAAAACCCTGAACCTTGAGCCCAACTCCTGTGCACTTCAATTCTGTGAAAACAAGCATGTTCTGTCTTTTTGGCACAGGCCAAGGAATCTCAAACGCACAAAGAGAATGCAAATCCTAGTCTCCCAAGCCTTGTATCTCCCTGTAACCCCCTGAAAAGGACTTGAACAGTCCTAGTAGCAAGAATTCGTGTAGAAGTCATAATATTAAATTCCTAGCAATCACATTTCTAGTTCATTTTCTTAACAACAAACCAAGCTATCATCCTTTAACTGGTGAACGGAGTGACTTTGTAAGTGAATTAAACTCATTGAATTCACTTCGCGAGATTATTTTTCATTCGCTCATAAGCCCACGACAACAAGACCATGAGGTAGGAACTGCCGCTGGACGCTTCTAACGCAGCTCACGGATTTTTTCTAAGGGTGAACTCTCCTTCCCATGGCATCTTCTCCTTGTAATAATACTAATAGTAAGCCAAAAAGATCTTCCTTAAGCCCTACACATCTTATCCTCCCTAAAGAGACCTTCAACATCTAAGGACTGTGCAAAGTTCGACTTCCAAAATCTGCTTCACGCCATGGCGGACGACGTGGCAGCCCAACGGGCTGAGGCGACGAGCTGTTGTTAGTCCCCCTGAAGTAGGTAGAATGTGGCTTTAGGTATATTATAATAAGGTCCCCATATACCCCATATTCTATCTATTTAAGGGGGACTATAAGTAGTGGGGCGAAGGGTTTAGGCTGACTTTGGCGCCGGGTGATGGGATTTCGGTTTTTGTGGTCAATCAATGTTTGGGATGAACGTGTAGTTTTCTGGTTCAGGGATTTAGGGCTTGGGGCGTGGGGTGTAAGTTTAGGGACGACTTGAAGGTACATAGGATCACTGAGGAACAAAGTGCTTGCTTTTCAATAGTGTTGCAACCTCACTTCTGATTCAGGTATTTTGGTAGCCAATATCAGTCCAGTAAGGGGATAAAAAGGAAGGTTTTAAGCACAGTTGTAAATGGTTACTAGGTCCCACGAGTCTCGAATTTTTGCTGGATGGGTGTACCACAAGTGTGGCTCAGCCTCCAGGAAAAATATTAGCAAAGGGGCAAGCTGTAAGGAAGTGCAAGAGTTGTAGTGCACCTTTTCGACGCGGATCTTGTATGAGTTTTCATGCTCGTTTTAAGGATGAATGAAGCCCTAGTTGCTGGCCTGTTTTGAATTTAATAGAAGGTCTTAATGTCACTTTGACTCATTAGAAGGCTTGCTGAGGAAACAGAGCATCAGTGCGGGTACTCAGCCAAGCGCCTTTGCAAGCACATGACACTTTCATGCTTTTGCGATGCCCACCTGCACTTGGGAAAGCCTGGTAACCTAAATCCGAAAACCCTGAACCCTAAATTACCCGAAGCCCTACACCTTGAAGGCCCCGTGCTCCTATTCACATTACATGCTTTCAGGGTTGCGACATTTTGATGCACAAGCCCTGAGCCCATTCAAACCAGTCTAAACCTAAACCAGAAACCTCAAGCCGTACCATGAAAGAACAAGGTGCCTGAGCTGCCAGACCAGCCGCTTGAAGCAAGTTTTACATGTTAGTGGCTCTCAGTTCAGGGTTCAAAAGGGCTCTTTAAGGATGACAAGCACGGTTCCTTAGTATCATGAATTTGGTAGATTCCAAAATAGACCGCCAAAAAAAACAAACATATATACATATATATATATATACATACCTATATGTACCTATAATTTTGGGAGACCCCCAAAAATGGACATTTTAGGAGGTCCTGTTAGCCTGGGAGATGCAGTTGCGGTTCGGGGTTCTGAAGGATACAGAGGGTTTGCCGGTTGTGGGTTTAGGGGTCCGATTTGGTACCTTCTCCAAACTAACATGGAACCCCATGAGGGCCGTCTGAAAAAGGGTCGTCTACAGAGGGCCCGTTTTCAGGCTCCAGGGTGGGGGGCGGGGAAGGTATATGGTCCCGCCCAAATACATAGAATATGGGGTATATGAGGATTTCTTTATAACATAACCCAAAGCCATATTCTATCTACCTCAAAGTAACATATGCTTATGATAGCTGCCATTGTGTTCATAACTGTTGTCTTATTGCCTCCCTTCAGCCTGCCGGGCCCTAAACCTTGAACTTAAGCCCTTGGAAAAGGCGCGAGAGGACTACGTAATCTAAAAGCAATGCATACTTCTCTTGACAACGGCGCGGTTGTTTCAGAAGCAGGTGCAAGGACTGGAGTCCAGAGCCCCCAGCACAGGGCTCAGGGACCTAACATCAAGGGGACGTTTCACAGCAGTCTAGCTTTTGTTTCTCCTGCCAGGGTTTGAAGGCGAGAAAGCTTGTCACGGGAAGGAGGTTGAGAGTTTTGCTTAGTCTGAGCTCTGTGTATTTGTGTATTGGAGAGATTGACGTGGGCACTAGAGTCCATTTATGGAAAGATTTGGGGGTTTTAGTTTGAGCTGTTGGGGCGTGATCCTTCTTGATGTGAGAACCCAAAATCTGAACCCTAAACTTCCCTAAGCCCAGAACCCTAAGCCCTGAGCCCCACTTCAAGCCCGAACGCTATAACCGAAAGCCACAGGGGCTACATGGGGTTCCATGTTAGTCTGGCCACGTAGAATCTCTGTATATCCATACCATCCAGATGATACTCCAAGCACCCCTACGGAATCCATTTGGTAGGTTGTCAAAACCATGGTCACTTCCTGGGTTCCCATACTGCAGCCCCTAATTATCTAGAGTAACCCAAAAGGGACGAGAATTTTGACAAGCCCCTACTTGGAACATCAGGGGGACTTTGTAAGTAGGCTAATAACCCCTGTAACCCGTAGAGTAATCCTAGTCATCCTAATTATTAACCTACGTACTAAGTCCCCATGACCCTCCAAGCACCCTAAACCCTAGAGTCCCCCTTAAGTAGATAGAATATGGGGCATACGGGGATCTTATTATAACATACCCAAAGCCATACTATCTACTTAAGGGGGACTATAACCCCAATATATACCCTATCATAACATAGTAGTTTCCATTTTCTTTTCCATTATCCCTACAGAACCCCTATTAAACTCAATAACCCCTATAACCCCAAGAAACCCTAAACCCTAAACCCTAAAAACCCTGTAAACCCTATAAACCCTAACCCCTATGAACCCTAACCCCTAAACATGTCCTCATAGAAGGCTCGAAGGGCTGCCAGCTCGGGACCTCCTCTGCTTGGAGGGCCTGGGCTGCGAGTTGAACGGCCAGGTGCGGTCTGCTGCCCAAGTACATTCTGACTATCGCTCGGTCTAGAGGATACATGTGTGTGTGTATACTCATATAATTTCCACATGGGTGGTTGTCAAAAT